CAACAACAATAAAACAGTAAGATACAATGACAAACTAACTTACAAAAGCTTTATTAGCAAACACTGAGGAATCAAATAATAATAAAAAAAGATTAAAGAGAGCCTCCATAGCCTAACGTGAGGTAAACAGCAAAGATAAGCCTTTCAAAATGAAAACAAAAATAAAAGTAAAACTAGTAAACCGTTTTGTAGTCCGTATGAAAAGGTGCATTTCTATTAAAGGCACGTCCATGTGGAGTTGGCGAGTCAGTGTCGGCATTCGGCAACTTCATCTTTGCACCCGACACTGACTCAGAAAGCACTAGTTTATTAATAAATAATTAAAATGTCTTCTTTCCCCCCGACACGTTCATAATCACTTTGCCGGTGCTTTGAGGCAATTGCTTAATGCGCGAGCTTGAGCGCAGAATAGGCTATAGCCTAATACACCTGCCTATATATTAAAGGTTAATATATTACTATAATAATCTATTTAATATAACGTGCGACTAGTTGACTAGAAAAATCTTTAGTCGGGGGCAGGCCTACTTAGCACAAGGAAGCGCTCCATTTTTTAAATAAAATGCTATAATGACATTACGAAAAGTGGGACAGCTGCAAATCACGTCGTTATTGCATTGCACGAGTTATGCATGCGTAAGGAGTCAAATGTTTTTTTTTTTGTTTCTTTCTTTTTTTTATTATCATCTTAATTATTAAATACAAGAGGCTATAGCATGTATATAATTGATTCCAGGAAGAAATCTGTGGGGGTGCTATGGGGGTGCTTTTGTCTTTCTTGGGGGTGCTGAAGCACCTGCTAGCCCCTCCCTAGCGCCGCCAATGTGCATATGCAACCTGCAAACATGCAAGCGTACTAGGTAATGTATCCCATAATGCAATAAGCTCAACTTGAATTTCCATTTCCAGTGTGATGAATGAAATTAACTTAATATTAACATCAAATTCAACATTTTAAATTCTGATATGATATCTGGGCACCATCCGCTGAATTAATTAATCATACTGAGGTCTTTTTTATGTTTTATGACAAAAAAAGTGTTTTTATTTTTTTTGGGGGGGGGTTCGTAATGTTACTTTTTTAACACAAACACGCACACAAACTGACACATTTCTTTTTTTTGTTGCTGTCATGGCAATGAGAAGCAACAAAAAAACAGTTGTTTTATCACAGCTGAAAAAAAAAGTATATGTTCTTTATAGTATGAATATAGGCAATTTGACTGAAAATCGGACATTCCGTACTACTTCTGCCAAGTTATGTGACTCCGTAAAATGTCCATCGAATGCGCACTCCAGAATTTTGGCCGAAGTAGTAGGTCATCCGGTTACTTATTTTGCCTTCTGTTTTTTTTTTCAAATGCTATCACTGCATCTGAAATCAAATACTTCCCTACTATATGCAAAAAACTATGCCAAAAATGTAGTATGTCTGAATTAATAGTATTCGAAAAACAAAGTACCTGGATAACTTACTACTTCCACTCAAATTTGGAAGTGCACATCCGACAGACACTTTACTATCCCATGGGGCCACGGGAGAGGATTTATGAAAGGCGACACTGGTTGATCACGTGATAGTAACAATATGACGGATGCAGTATGTCTGAATTTCATACCATATTCAGATTATATAGAACATACTTTTTTAATGTTCGCAAAGTAAGTTCAAATTCAGTACCTATTCAGACAGTATGCGATTTTGGACGCACCTATGAATTCGGGGATACTACATCTTACATAGGGACAGTCAGAGTAAAAAATAAATCATATTCTTGATAATATTGCAGGAGCCATGTTTAATTCCTTTTCTAATTCATAAAATTATGACTTTTATTATCAGTAGGGATAAAAACAAATATAGTTAATTCAAATTAATGTTTTTGTGTGTGTATGTGTGGTAGTTTAGCATTTTCTGAAGAAAATTTGTCTCCACCATGATGGCGTGTTGTAGGTGGTTGCCAGGGTGTTGCTATGCGGTTGCTATTGTGTTCATGGTTGCTAGAGAATTGCTGGTTGGTTTCTAGGAAGTTAGGCTCATGCTATTTTCAAAAATGCACGTGCAACAGTGATACAGTGTCTAGATCTGCACCTGCATTTGCTTGGTAGGTGAAAAACATACACACTACACACAAATCCCCTGAAGTGCTGCTGTAGTTTGTGTGTGTATAAAGCAGAATTTAGTGTGTGAGTAATACAGGAGGACAGGGTTGTGTGTTGCTCATAAACGAGTTTGTCTTCTCTACTCCGTCTCTGTATGGGAATGCCTTATTGAACATCACATGCATTCCCCCGACAGTTTATAGCTGAAATCAGCACCTTTTAGAATAACCATCTATTCTGCTCTCGCCGGATGGACAGAAGCAGAGAGAGGAGAGAGAGCAGGACGATCTTCCTTGTGTCCTGTTCTCTCTCTGAACCGAGAACAGATTTAATTGAGTCTGAAAATAGAGGGTATTTCACTGTTTGTGTCTGACATTATACCACTATAATGACCAGATGCTGTGTGTTTTATATATTTGTGAACATAAAATTTAAGTGCTGCATTGAAATCCCCCTTCTTTTTTATTATTTTTCTTTTCTATAAGTTTCTGCAAGTATGTGGCAATTCAAATGCATTCAGACTTTGTTTTGTATATAAAAATCATACTTTTTCAATAATAACATTTAAAAAATGTCATGACTTTGTGAAAATGTTCACCCTTCAAAATCAAACCTACAGTGATGATGTCATTAATATTTGCATATTGAATAAAGGCCTGTTCACACCAAGGCCTTTAAAGGATTAAGGTTAGTTCACTTCTGAATTCAAATTTCCTCATAATTTTCTCACCCCCATGTCATCCAAGATGTTCATGTCTTTCTTTCTTCAGTCGAAAAGAAATTAAGGTTTTTGAGGAAAACATTCCAGGGTTTTTCTCTATATAGTGGACTTCACTGGGTGGAAGGTCCAAATCGCAGCTTCAGTGCAGCTTCAAAGCGTTCTACACAATCCCAGACGAGGAATAAGGGTCTCATCTAGTGAAACGATCGGTCATTTTCTAAAAAAAATTACAATTTATATACTTTTTAACCTCAAACCCTCGTCTTGTCTAATTCTGTGTGAACTCTGTGCATTCCGGTTCATGACAGTTATGCCCAGTTCACGCTGCACGATTTTCAAACTCGTCGGATCGCCGTTGTTTTCACACTGCGTGACTATCTGGGGTAGTTTGTAATATATAATTATTCACGGTATTTAGAAGTGCCCACGATAACAATATCATGCATATTCATTACCGTGATATATCGCATTACCGAATACCGGCACAAGTCTACTTGAGATGCACCTGTAGATCAGTGATGTCCAACCCATGACCACCGTGACTTTCTGTTGATTCTAATTTTCTGTGGTCTGTCACTTTAAATGCTGGCGCTGATTCTGATTGGCTGACAATGCTTTAATCGTTCATCAGCTGGAAAAAAAATCGTCCTGAGAGTGATTACAGCGATATGGTTCCTCTGTGTGTTATCCTTATAATTATGGTGAGGACTTCTATAAGGCCCGTTCACACCAAAACAATAACGATAACTATATTAGTGTCCACATCAAGGCAAGTTAAGGTTGTTTATTAAAGCACGCGCTGTAATTTTGTTGTTGGCTGCTTTAAATGCTTGCTATTGTTAAATTCTGGTGGATTCTGATTGGCTGTCAATGTTTTTATTGTTTATCAGGTGAAAAGAAAAGTTCAGAAGTGATTTAAAGGATATTGTTGCTATGTGTTCTTATGATGATCTCCTTTATTTTTCTTTATGCATACTGAATTATGATTGGTCTTTACGTTTTTACATTTATTTATCAACTTATATAGCGCAGAGTTTTATAATAATAATAATAATAATTATTATTATTATTATAAATAGGCAATACAATTTTAATTTGATTTACTTTTTCTTAAAAATAATAATATTTGCTGGCTGGCAACAGCATTTTCTTCAGGAAATGTGAATGAACTTTTAATTGTCAACATTTCTCTCCATCCTTACTTTAATTTCTCTTGCATTTTGACTGTACTGTTGTTTCTTTGCACCTTGTTCAGATAGTTACATTTCCCTCCGTCTCCTGCTACCCTCCCCTCTCTCTCTGCCCTTGAGTTTTTCTATTACCTTGTGGAAAGCACCTCGCCTGGCATGACAAGCGCAGCGGATTGACACTAAATCAGAAATCAACGCTAGAGCTCAGCATGAAGGTCACACTAGCTCACACACTCGTCTCTATCTGAGAACACACGCGATTCGCTCATCTCTGTGTGTGTGTGTGTGTGTGTGTTGGGGTCACAAGGGCCCAGTGGGATTTTGAGAGGGGCCACATCTCTGTAAGGTGAGGTGATGGTAATCCTCAAATAATTCCTCAGCATTCCATCACTCTCACTCTTTTGAAGACCTGAGGGAGAATGTAGCCAGAGAAAAGGCTTAAAAGTATTGCTTTAATATGTTTACTTGATTATTCAGTAGATGCCATGCCATACGGTTGCCTTTATACCATACTGTTGCCTTTATGCGTGTGAATAATACATTTGGGAGGAGATCACAGACACTAGTGATTGAATAAAATGGACTGAATCCCTGAAGCTGTGGATAACCTCGTTAGTGTCTCAGACATGTACGACCGCAACAGGGTTTTCGAGTTGGTGTATACTGACATCTAGCGGTGGCATGATAACCACAAAAACAATAAAGAAAATAATACTATAAAACAAGAATTTTCTTACAGAAAAAATACACATGGTATCACAGATTGTTTTGTTTTTATATACAACAACAATAACAATATATAAATTAAAATAAAATAAAAATATATAAAATATAAAACATAATAAAAGGCAATGATCTACACGATTTTACAGAGAAAAATACACAAAAATATATAATGAACCACGATACCAACAATACAGTTAAAAATATGATAATATAAAAGAGAATTTGACAGAATTTGCTTACAGAAAAAAAAAAACCGTATATTAAGTTTTGTTTTATATGCTGCTTCTTTTGTTTAAATTTGGGGCTGGTACATCTACAAACCAACCTCCAATAAAAGATCAACTGTAGACCTTTGGTGTTTTTCGCTTCGAAAACACTGCGGGTCACGTGTGTCCCCTGGAAGCTTCCGTAGCTAGTCACATGAGTCCGCAGATTGTTTGTTTGTAGTGAGCAGCTGATTTGGCCGAAAATACTGTCAGAGAGATGATTTTATGAACATTTCCGATCATCGACGGTCATTTGACTCGTTTATATGCTCTAACTGAAGAGTTTTGGATCTAAAGCAGAACCGGCTCGGAACTGATACATTGTATCAGACGCGACGCGTGACGCGTTCTGTCAAACAAGACGTGCTATAATGTTTCGGTTCGTCACAGATGGAAATATATTCCAATAGAGAGTGAGCTGACGCGACTGATTTAGTGTTTTAATAAAGACTCCTCACATCAGGAATATCAACAGAACGCACCGCGCGTCTCTGCCAGCCGGTTTCGCAACATGCAGCTACACTGATTTGTCTTGTGATTTATTTGCACACAAAATCCATTCGTTTGCATGTAAAGTCAGATGCTTTTTTAAAAGACCAACATGCTGCGGTGGATTCTGGGAGGTCGGGAAGCGCAGGGAACTGTGGAGGTGAGTACAAGCCATAGTAAACCACAAACTACAGTGTATGTGGGTAACCCTATGAAACTTCTGTCTGTTTGATGTCCCAAATATAGATTTCTTTAAGATTTGAAAAATCTTATCTATCTATCTATCTATTTCTGAAAATGATTTTCTTTGTTTTTTAATGATTTTAGTTTATTAGTTTTTTACACAGGGCAAAAAAACAGCAGCATTTAAATTTTTGTTGATGTGTTTAGAAAAATGCCTGTAATAACACAAAGCTGTTAAAGCTGTTATCAGCCATGAAACTTCTGTCTGTTTGATGTCCCAAAAATAGATTTCTTTAAGATTTGAAAAATCTTATCTATCTATCTATTTCTGAAAATGATTTTCTTTGTTTTTTAATGATTTTAGTTTATTAGTTTTTTACACAGGGCAAAAAAACAGCAGCATTTAAATTTTTGTTGATGTGTTTAGAAAAATGCCTGTAATAACACAAAGCTGTTAAAGCTGTTATCAGCCATGCAATTTAAAAGTCACTAAAACTCCAGTTTTGTGGCATGACCTATGTCCATGTTATTGCCATTATTTACCAATAAGCAGAAGATAAGAAGCTCGTTTCAGTGTCCAGTTCTCTTAAAGACTGGGTCTTATAGTTGCAGGAGTTCAGTACATGTATCAGAGAGAGACAGGCCGACGCAGTCGAGCAAACAACAGTCATTTCAGCACATTCTGAGCTAGATTGAAGCAATGATTCGTTTGTCTATTATATTCTCTTCGTGGGCAGAAGAGCGCGGCTCTGTTCATTGGGGAGGAACAGCCCAAAAACTGTTTCACGGAGATGCAGGTGCTGAAAGGACACTTTGACATTGTTCGATTTCTGGTGCAGGTTGATGACTTAAGGTAAGCAATCCTCTTCTCCTCTTCTTCTGCCTCTGACCAGTGATTGACAGCTAAGACTGAGCCAGATCCTCTCCAAAAGCAAACTTACAGAGCGTGACAAGAGCTTAATCATCACAGCTTGAGGGAGTTTGTGTGTGTGTGTGTGTTTGCACTTCAACATCAACTTGATAGTGTCCATCAGCTCTGGGCCTGTCCATATTAACTGCGTCTGCATGAAAACATCTGCGCTGGAGGCTTTCAAAAAGCTCATGTATATACAAACACGCAGTGCTGGGCAGTGTAAGGCAGGGGTTATTTTTATTGAGGTGATGGAGAAGAGCGTTTGGAAGTGTGTGTGTGTGTGTGTGTGTGTGCAGCTCCTTATGATCTTAGTGCAGGAGGAGAGTTTGAGGTGAGGTCAGTGTGCAGAACATCACTGATTGCTTTTAGAGTCCAGAATCCTGTTTCTCTTCTCCGCTGGCTGCTCCTGATGATCTCGGTGCAGGAGGAGAGTTTCAGCTGAGGTCAGTGTGCAGAACATCGCTGATTGCTTTTTGAGTCCCGAGTCCTGTTTCTCTTCTCCGATCCCTTCCATACTTCCTGTATCTCATCCCTTTATCATAGTTTCATTCTCCTGTTCTTCCTGCGGACGATTCGTTTCTGAGCTCGAGAGGTCAAAGGTGACGTGGGAATCATGCGATTGTTAAAATCCAGTCAGAGAAGAAGATCTGTCATAGTGCTGGCGATGTTATCTTTATGTTATTTTGTGTGTGTGTGTGTGTTTATTGAGTATTTTGGAGGGGGCAATGCCTCAAAATATATGCAAAATATAATATGCTTGATTTAATTTAATAATTTAGAAATTTCATATTTTGAGATTTCATATATTTTGAAACAGTATTATATTGTTAATTAAATAGTTAATTAATACTATATTAATAACATTAACAAAATAAAAAATGTTAGTTATAATTACCCTCTGCCGTTTTACTGTATTACATTTACTGCGTGACCCAAACACTCTATAAATGCAAAACCAGCAGCATTTGTCTGTGTGTGTGTTTCAGACTGGAGACTCTTTGATTGAGTTGCGCGGTCATACGCAGCAAATCACTGCAATGATATCATACACCTTCATCAGAGGAGGAAACGCACACACGGCGCTCATTACCGCTTCATCAGACCGCACGCTCAGTGTATCCTTTACACAAACTTCTGCTGAAGTGTGTGTGTGTGTGTGTTTAGTGTTGATGCTTTGCCTTAATTCTACCGCAGTTATGGGATCCAGATTCAGGAAACCGAGTGCAGAACATATCTGATCTCCAGTCCCCAGTGAAGGTACAGTATGTGGTACAGCTTCATGTCTTCCTGTTTCAGTGCACAGATGGTTGGGATTGTGTGTGGAAACAGGTCTGTTCCTCTTTCAGTGTGTGTAGGTGGATTTTGTGTGTTTGTACGCTGATGGAGGTGTCTGTTTTTCAGTGTTTGCTGGTGTTGGTTCGTTTGGATGTGTGGCTCTCGGGTGGAAATGAACTGTGTGTTTGGAACAGAGACTTTGAGCTGCAGTGTAAAACGGTTCATCACAGCGATGCAGGTACACAATCCAAAACACACAGATAAATAAATGTATGTCCAAGAGCAAATACAGACTACAAAACACAAGATAAAGTCACATTGCTAAGGGGAAGTCGTGGCCTAATGGTTAGAGAGTCGGACTCGTAACCCAAAGGTTGCGGGTTCGAGTCTCGTACCGGCAGGGATTGTCGGTGGGGGGAGTGAATGTACAGCGCTCTCTCCCACCTTCAATACCATGACTGAGGTGCCCTTGAGCAAGGCACCGAACCCCCATCTGCATGAAAACATCTGCGCTGGAGGCTTTCAAAAAGCTCATGTATATACAAACACGCAGTGCTGGGCAGTGTAAGGCAGGGGTTATTTTTATTGAGGTGATGGAGAAGAGCGTTTGGAAGTGTGTGTGTGTGTGTGTGTGTGTTACGGCTGGCTGCTCCTGATGATCTCGGTGCAGGAGGAGAGTTTCAGCTGAGGTCAGTGTGCAGAACATCGCTGATTGCTTTTTGAGTCCCGAGTCCTGTTTCTCTTCTCCGATCCCTTCCATACTTCCTGTATCTCATCCCTTTATCATAGTTTCATTCTCCTGTTCTTCCTGCGGACGATTCGTTTCTGAGCTCGAGAGGTCAAAGGTGACGTGGGAATCATGTGATTGTTAAAATCCAGTCAGAGAAGAAGATCTGTCATAGTGCTGGCGATGTTATATTTTGGGCTTTATGCTTTCTTTTATTTAAGCATAGGTGAAGCGTCATGCCAGGTTTTACCCAACATCTGTGTGTTTTGTTGGCAGGTTTGCGTCTGCAGGTGACGACGGCCTGGTGCTCATTTGGAATGTTGAGGTGAGCAGAACAGAACTTTATGAATATGCTAATCACATGTTATTGATATGGTAAATTCATGAAATAGGCCAGAGGTCAGCCTAATTGATACTTTTTGGCAAAAGTAATTTTAACATTTTTATTAATAAAATTAAATAAAATCAGGAACTTTTTTTTGCATTGAGACACCACAGCCCTCAAAATCCTCCTGTAGTTGTAATTAATTAATTTTAAATAAATAAACAAATAAAGAACATTTTCTCATAAAATATGAGCGATCTCTCTCTCTCTCTAAAATGTACTCATATTATAAATATATTAAAAACATATTTTCTTATAAAATGAACTCAAGTGTTTATATAAGACATTTTATTTATTTATACTATACTATAGCATTTTATTTTCACAATATATTATAAATATAGAAAAATAAATATATAAAACTTTATGATGTATTTATGAAATGAGCTCAAAATTGTTTCAGATTTGTTTTTAATAAGTATTTTAGCTAATTTTTAAAATATAAAATTTGAAATATATATATACACACATACTATTTAAGTATGCTGTATATATATTATATTGTATATATTATACTGTATGTATATATATTATATAACATTGTATATATATATATATTTTGTTAATTAAATAGTTAATTAATACTATATTAATAACATTAACAAAATAAAAAATGTTAGTTATAATTACCCTCTGCCGTTTTACTGTATTACATTTACTGCGTGACCCCAACACTCTATAAATGCAAAACCAGCAGCATTTGTCTGTGTGTGTGTTTCAGACTGGAGACTCTTTGATTGAGTTGCGCGGTCATACGCAGCAAATCACTGCAATGATATCATACACCTTCATCAGAGGAGGAAACGCACACACGGCGCTCATTACCGCTTCATCAGACCGCACGCTCAGTGTATCCTTTACACAAACTTCTGCTGAAGTGTGTGTGTGTGTGTGTTTAGTGTTGATGCTTTGCCTTAATTCTACCGCAGTTATGGGATCCAGATTCAGGAAACCGAGTGCAGAACATATCTGATCTCCAGTCCCCAGTGAAGGTACAGTATGTGGTACAGCTTCATGTCTTCCTGTTTCAGTGCACAGATGGTTGGGATTGTGTGTGGAAACAGGTCTGTTCCTCTTTCAGTGTGTGTAGGTGGATTTTGTGTGTTTGTACGCTGATGGAGGTGTCTGTTTTTCAGTGTTTGCTGGTGTTGGTTCGTTTGGATGTGTGGCTCTCGGGTGGAAATGAACTGTGTGTTTGGAACAGAGACTTTGAGCTGCAGTGTAAAACGGTTCATCACAGCGATGCAGGTACACAATCCAAAACACACAGATAAATAAATGTATGTCCAAGAGCAAATACAGACTACAAAACACAAGATAAAGTCACATTGCTAAGGGGAAGTCGTGGCCTAATGGTTAGAGAGTCGGACTCGTAACCCAAAGGTTGCGGGTTCGAGTCTCGTACCGGCAGGGATTGTCGGTGGGGGGAGTGAATGTACAGCGCTCTCTCCCACCTTCAATACCATGACTGAGGTGCCCTTGAGCAAGGCACCGAACCCCCAACTGCTCCCCGGGCGCCGCAGCATAAATGGCTGCCCACTGCTCCGGGTGTGTGTTCACGGTGTGTGTGTGTGTTCACTGCTGTGTGTGTGCACTTTGGATGGGTTAAATGCAGAGCACTAATTCCTAGTATGGGTCACCATACTTGGCCACATGTCACGTCACTTCACTTTTTAATAGTTGTATAAACTTAAACTGGCAGAGTGTAATTTATGCAACATCAAACTACTTTCAGAAAATCTTCTATGCTCACCAAGGCTGCATTTATTTGATGAAAAATACAGTAAAAACAGTAATATTGTGAAATATTTTTACAATTTAAAATAACTATTTTCTATTTGAATATATTTTAAAATGTAATTTATTCCTGTGATGCAAAGGTGAATTTTCAGCATCATTAATCATCATTCTAATATGCTGATTTGCTGCTCAAGAAACATTTCTGATTATTATGCTAAAAACAGTTGTGCTGCATAATATTTTTGTGGAAACTGTGGTACATTTTTTTAAGATTATGTGATGAATGGAAAGCATTTATTTGAAACAGAAATCTTTTGTAGCATTATACATGTCTTCACTGTCACTTTTTATCAATTTAATGCGTCCTTAATAAATAAACGTATACATTTATTTGAAAAAAAAAAAATCTTACTGACCCCAAACTTTTGAACAGTAGTGTATTTAAATATATTTTCATAAATCTTCTGCTTTATTCTGAAGGCATCTCAGCCATGGTGGAGTTACCAAAGAACTTCATTGCAGCTGCCATGGATAAAGAAATTGGTAACTGAAAAATAATTTTTCCATAAAATGTTGTATGCCTAAAAAATTAATGGTATTTTCAACAAATATGAAAAGATTTACACTCACTGGTCTAGCAAAAGCTGTTGTGGTCTTCATAAATCTTCATTTCAAAGCTCTGTTCAGTAAAAATGACTCATGTTGCAGCTTAAGCTATTTTATTGATGAGTTTGCTTGTAGGTCAATTAATGATTTGAAATGATTTCTGATGTTCCAGTGATATTTAAGTTGAACCTGTCTGGATCAGACATTGTGGTTATGGCCATGCGTCATCTAGCTGACCATCAGGACACCATCCATTCTCTCATCCACATCAACGGTGAGATATTTGATGGCAATCAGTCCTCACGCACACATTGAGATCATTTTGGATTGTGTTGAGTATTGTTGTGTTTATTGTTGGTTATTGTTTATCTCAGATGGCTTGTTTGCGAGCGGCTCTCATATCGGTGAGCTCATCATCTGGGATTCAGTGGATTGGACGATCCAGGCATATGAGCACATTCTGTGGGAGGAGCCAGCGAGAGACGGCCAATCAGAGTTCAAACTGAATCACCAGAAACAGATCGAGAGGTCCATTCAGCACATGAGCTCAGATGGGGAGGTAAGAAACTGACCCTTCATTATAAATGATGAATTATATATAAATTATACACCAATGGTCAGATGTTTGGAATAATTAAGATTTTTTTATGTATTTGAAAAAAAAAGTCTCTTATGCTCACCCAGGCCGCATTTATTGGATCAAAAATACAGTAAAAACAGTAATATTGCAAAATATTATCACAATTTGAAATAACTGCTTTCTATTTGAATATATTTTAAAATGTAATTTATTCCTGTGATCAAAGCTGAATTTTCAGCATCATTACTCCAGTCTTCAGTGTCACATGATCCTTCAGAAATCATTCTAATATGTTGATTTGCTGCTCAAGAAACATATATATACATTATTTATTTAACAAGGATGCATTAATTGATCAAAAGTGACTGTAAGCCATTTATAATATTACAAAACATGTTTATTTCAAATAAATGCTGTTCTTTTGAATATTATTTTCATTAAATAATCCTCAAAAAATGTTTATCAATGTTTACACAAAATATGAAGCAGCACAACTGTTTTCAACATTGATAATAATAAGAAATTTTTCTTGAGCAGCAAATCAGCATATGTGAACCTGGACCACGAAACCAGTCATAAGGGTAAATTTTTTTAAAATTGAGATTTATACACCATCTGAAAGCTGAATAAATAACTTTTGTGCTCCAGGGTCACATATTAGAATGATTTCTGAAGGATCGTGTGACACTGAAGACTGGAGTAATGATGCTGAAAATTCAGCTTTACATCACAGAAATAAATTACGTTTTAAAATATATTCAAATAGAAAAGTTATTTTAAATGTTATTAATATTTCACAATATTACTGTTTTTACTGGATTTTTATTCAAATAAATTGAGCCTTGGTGAGCAAAAGAGACTTTTTTCAAAAACTTGAAAAATGTTTAATTATTCCAAAATTTTGACCTCTAGTGTATATCATATATGATAATTAAATCATGCATATTTTCCTTACATAGTTAAATCTCTCTCTCAGTATATAGTGGCGGCTGTAGGCAGTGGTCTGTATGTTTATAATGTGCTGATGAAGAGTGTGGTGGCATACAGGAGGATCGCCCATGATTCAAATGTCTTACACACCGTGCTTCAGCAGGACGGGTATGAAGCACTTCAGAAGAATTCCTCCAAAACATCTCTGTGAAGCATCTGAATAAAGCGAAGTGTTCTCTGTCTGTCTTGTAGGCGCTTGATGTCGTGCTCTGAGGACGGGAGTGTGAGGATGTGGGAGTTACAGGACCTCCCCCTGCCCGCTGAACCCGCCTCCTCAGGTGAGCAGGACACACACAAACACCTCACTTCAGCCTCTGTTCTTTCCATCCATCCGTTTCATCTTTGAAATACCTTCTCACCCCTTTCCTTTCCATCACAACACACATCCTTCCTTCCCTCATTCCTGTCTTCTCTGATCCAGATGTTCCCATATCATCATTTATTTTGCCATCCTGTGCAGAGGATGTGTGTGTGTGTGTGTTTCAGTCCAGCTGCTGTAAAATAATTTCCTGACAGACATCCAGAACAACCACTAATATTTGAATGGACGAAAAACAACATAGGATTGATCTGATGTTCTTTAAAGGCACAATATGTAATTTTTCGCCGTTAGAGGGCGCGTATTCAAAACAAGCAAAGAAACAAAGTCGTAGTTTGATGACGCCGTGACTGAGTGTGGAATCATGGGAGTTGTCGTCTTCATCCCCATAGCCGATGCAATCTGACTTGAAATCGCATCATATGACCCCTTTAAGTTATTGATGACTTTCTTTTGCAGTGTATCTAAATCATTATTTTCTTTTAAATGAGCATGAGTTTAATGCATGATGTTTGGGTGATTAGTATGTCTGCTTTCTCCTGCAGGGTTTTTTGGGATGTTCGGCACTTTTGGCAGGTCCAGTAAGCAGACAGGTCCTCCTGCCAAGAAAATCCCAGAAGTCCCTGGTCTGCGCTCGCTGGAACTGATCGGCGATCTGATTGGTCACTCTGGAGCTGTGCAGGTACGGTATGTGGGTCATGTGACATAAACCCAAGGATGCAGACGTTTGAGATTTTTCAACTTGGTGGTATTGAGTGTTTGTCTCGACTGAGTTTCATGAACTAGTTTTAGATGAAAGCTTTCGATTTTGTGTGTAGAAACAGTGTGTTATTAGGAGACATTGATCCTGGATGAAGCAGAGTATCGTTCTGACCTGCAGTTTAATTAAAGTTTCTGACAGAGTGAAGGATGTGATCTACATACAAGTCAACTCACGCATTGATCATCTGACATGTGCTCTGTTTCAGCAGCACACCCATCACATTAGCATTACGTTAGCATTATAAGCAAGTCATATTGCATGTTTTCAATCAGCTTCAGGGAGTTTTATTCTGGCTTTAAAAACAGTAAAAAAGAGTTCTGTCATCATTTACTTGAAGTCTTAAACCTTGAAGTTTTAAATAAAACACATTTTTTTGGGGTGAATGATGAACAAATTTTCATTTTAGGTGAACTGTTATTTTAAGGCATGTACAGTGTCTAAACTAATTACACATTCCAATCTTGGAAAAAAAATATTTATTTTTGTTTTTAAAATAAAAAAAAATAAAGATGATGTTACATAAAATATAATTTTATTTTATAATAAAAAATTATAATAATTTTTCATCATGTTTTAGATTTTGCTTTGATTTTAAGTTAGTAGTTTGTCATGTCAATCATTAATTTTAATTCGTTTCTATTATAATTCATGTTTGGAAACTGATGCTGCTGTGAATTGATGAATTGTTCATTATTTTCTTTTACACATTAGTTTATTGCAACATTTTCTGTCAACACAACGATGTAAACAAAGAAGTCCTACTATGTGGCTTGTGTTGCAGATGTTTCTGAGTTTCAAGGAGAAGGGTCTGGTCACCTGCTCCACCGATCACCTGCTCATCATCTGGAAGGATGGAGAGTTCCAGTCTCAGCTCCGCAGTCTCGCCGTCTTCCAGAAACTCGAGGAAAACCAGGAACTGTGATCTGATCTTCAAAGCCTTTTTTCCCCATCATCATCTCTGAAGCTCAAAATGTTTGAAATATGAACACATTTCTTTGCCTTACTAACCATCTGCTAAGCTTTGTCACATCAGTGTTTTAACGTCACGTTGTTTTGGTATGATAAAATGCTTATGACGTTGTGATTTTAATTAGAAGGTTTTATAAAATCAGTATCTTATAGTAAACATCTGTAACAATGTATATATTGTGATTGATGTGTTTTTATGTTATTTTAAAACTGAATTTTGAAAAGTGCAATGATAACGCTTTACAGTAAAGTCTCATTTGTTATAAATACAGTTGTTAGTTCACAGTATGTTGTTATTATCTCGAACTAAAACTAAACTTTTAAAGTAACAAAAATGCTTTTTTTACATGTTAGCTGAAATATTTTTTAAATGTATTTTATTTCAGATAGTGGTTTAAACATTTCTCAGGTTCATTTAGTTTAACGAGGTACTAAAATAACTAAAATTGGGGAAAATGAAATAAAAATGAATATTATATATAATAATGATAGAATAAAGATAAAATAGTTTGATATATATAGACATTGATAAATATATAGTGTAACAACTAATAAAACATTTACTAATGTTAACAAATGAAACCAAGATAGTGAAGTGTTATCAATGTGTTTCTTGAATGTATGCTTGCTAATCTTTTAACTGACAAAACTGATTAAAAAAACTAATTAAAGCGTGGTGTGTCCATGTAAATTTAAAGGGGTCATATGATGCGATTTCAATTTTTCCTTTCTCTTTGGAGTGTTACAAGCTCTTGGTGCATACAAAAACATTTTATTGCAATTTTTCTCACAAACACAATGGTTTCAGAGTTGGAGTGGCGTCTCCAAACAACAGCAGATGCAGAGACAGAATCAAACAGAAGTAAACCAAGCAAACAGACGTTTTTATGCAACATTGAATCTTTTTTTGTACAACTGACAATACAATAAAATAATATCCTTTGATAAAACAAACCTGTTAAATGGCATGTGATCATTTTTACTTTCAGTGAAGTATTTGTTCAATACAAAATAGTGTATATACATTTGCGCAAGGGATGATGCTAGTGTTCATTCCCTGTACTTCAAAAATACAGTAATTGGCACAAAAGCTGCACCCATCGATTCAGTTCACGTTCGCTAATGAAGCAGGCTGCGTCTGAAGACCCGCCCCCGATGATGACGTCATTGTGAGGTCATCATGGTACGCTAATAGGGAGCCCTTTGATCACGACGGTGACGCATGACACTTTGAAAAGATTCACAACAACGTTCAAATTCGACTATGGACTGATCAGTCATTAATAATTACACAAAGGATTTTTAAAATACTTTAGGTAGATGAAAAATTGTTTTATAACACAATGTACTGAAAGTGATAATGGATGGAGCATGAGCACTTCCCATGAGCCTGAGCATTTCTGCCACCTTTACACTGAAGATAGGAAGTCAATTTAAATCTGAAATTTAATATACTAAAAATATAAACCTAATGGGTGAAACTATAAGATACACTAACCATCTCCAATTAAATGTTCTGGCTCTCAACAGCATTTATGGCAACATATTGACTTCAAATCAAAAATAACTGACTTGTCCATCTTTATTATTATTATTATCATAAAAAAGCAAAAAATATGAGACAAGAAATCAACTGCAAGCATAACATTAGTAATGTTCAAATCCACTTGAAAAAAATGTGCCTAGAAAAATAGTTCCAGCTGAAAAATCATGACTTACATTTTTACATTTACAGATATAATAATACTATAAATTATATTATTTTTTTTTTTTTATTATAAATTATTATAAATATGAGTGTTACATTTCTGATTTTAAGCCCTTTGGAACTTTTCAGTACACTATTTGCTTTAAAAAAAATTTAAATATATTTAATATTTGCTTTAAAAAAAAAAAAAAAGACAAAATATATATTTTAATCTACTAAAGCATCATATGAATGCAGACACTTCTAGTTATGTAATTTTTAGTCATGATTTTTGTCTTGATGAAAATATTCTTTCAATTCAGTCAGTATTTTGATGTCATTTATTCATTTTAGTCCGTTTCTAGTGTAATTTCTTTAATGAAAACTTTTTAGTTGACAATAAATGTCAAACCAAATATTCAAATATTAATATTAAATAAATATAATATAAACAAATAAATATAAGCTTTACATCTCTGATTTTAAGTCATCTGGAACATTTAAATAAACTACTGTAACTGCTATATTTGCTTTTTTAAATAAAATATTTTTAATATTTGCTTTTTAAAACAATTTTTTACAAATTAAATAAAAGAGGGACGAGTCAAAATAATTTTCCATGGTAATCAACATCATGCTCCAAATACTGTTGATAAAATTCGTATTGAAGCTGGACTGATCTTTTAAGCACATCATCACTAAACATTCAACAAAACCGCCAGTAACCAAATTAACCAACTACCACCAGAACAACTAATAATCATCATCTTGTTAATATTACAATGGATCTTTGGAATGAGACAATCACATGGTCACATCGTTCAATCACTCTGGACTTTAAATCCGGTTTATGATGAATCTCATCATCAGTGTTGGCAAGTGAATGAGGAGTGTTTTATAATAGAGATTAAAGGGATAGTTCACCTTCAGTTGCTGGTCCCCATTGACTTGCACAGTGTTTTTTTTTCCCTCCATACTATGGAAGTCAGTGGGGACCAGCAACTGAAGGTGAACTATCCCTTTAAGGCATGAACCTGAATATTCTCTCTAAACTCTACATATTAATAATAACATCTGTAAAAGAGTCCATATAAATTCATAGTCAAACCATCTGAGCTTAAAAAGGGATTTTCCCCGATTACATTTTGTACTTTAAATTACCTATAAACCCTGTGTGTGAGAATGCAATATAATGTTTGGTTATGAAGTAGGATAATGCGGGAGCTTTTTAAACACAGAAAGACAGGAAGAGAGAGGATGAGCAGGGTGGAGGACAGGAAAAGAGGGAAGAGATACATCATCTTCTGCCCTGCACTTCTATGATTAGTTCTAGAATGTTCTATGGCTTTATCTCAGTCGGCTCCAAACCCAAGATCAGACCAAATCAAGACTCGTCTGAGAGGAGTCAAATCCTCCACTGGCGTTTGATCATTGTGCGTTACAGGTTACTGTGTCTTTGCTCAATCGATACAGATGCGTGATGCACCGGAATGTAGAATGGAAATTAATTTCATTTTGCACTACAGGATGTCAAACCTACAGCGAACCACAAATATTCAAACCCTGAATATTACTCGATAAAATTACATTAAATGAGTACATGTCCTGTCCGTAAAGGGGAACATTTGTGTTTTCTACCAGTCAAACATTTGGACACCGCTACTTATTCTTTATTATGATTATATATATATATATATATATATATTTTAGAATAATAGTAAAGTCATTAAAACTTTTTCATGGAATTCCTGCCCAGAAAATATATTCATAATAAAATAAATCAAATTGAATTAAAAATGTTCAATTTAAGATTTTTCTATTTAAGATTTAAGAAGTCTCTTATGCTCACCAAGGCTGCATTTTTTAGATAAAACTATAATAAAGACAGTAATATTTTGAAATATTATTCCAATTTAAAAGAACAGTTTTCTATTTGAATATGTTTTAAAATGTAATTTATTCCTTTGATGGCAAAGCTAATTTTTTCAGCAGCCATTACTCCAGTCTTCAGTCCTCATCCTGATGAGGTACAGTAGGCACAATTTAAATTTGAAAACTATTTCAATAATTTAAGCATAGACCTTTAGATCAGCAGGTATTTAATATCTTGAACATAAATTCAGTCTAGTGCATCCAAGCGTTTGACTGCTAGTGTCCATTAGGGGCTTTGCTTGTTGTACTTTTCTTGATTACTGATCACAAGAACTTTAGGTAACATGATTATACTGCTATAAAAAAATAAAACCTAAAACACAAACAAACACAAGCTCTTTGATACTTGTTATTTCATAGTTATGTAAAAACTATGTAACAGCATCAATGGAGTTCAATAATGTGTGCGGATCTCAGGATTTACCATTAGAGGGCGACAAGAGCCTCCACCATAATCTGTACTATGGAGCTCTAAATAAATGGGCAAAAATGGGTCAAAAAAGAGGCAGTATAATTTCTATTAAGCATGCATATATAGTATATCAAAGGAAATCTTATTGCATTTATAAAATAAATCAGTTGTATGTTCTTATACATAATTGTAACCACAGTCGCAATACATTACAATGTTTATTTAATTTCAGTTGTATCTTTAAAATGCATAATGCCTTAATCATAACCCAATTTCATGTGTTAAATCATAATGTATACCAATGGTTAAACTGAAATATTTTAAATCATACAAAAAAAGTTTTGTTTAATTAGAAAAAATCTCTGATATCATCTGCTACAAACATTGTCTGATTTAGATGAATATGATGATTTTTAAATCTTAATATAAACCGATACCCACTGATTTTAACTTTATAATGCATCAAGAATGCTTTATATAATACATTACATATACAGGCTTCAAAACTGCCACCGAAACTACTGCTCTACCCTTGTGACCACATTAAAGAAAAAAGAAAAAAAGGGAGGGAAACGGATAGAATCAGGAAGGATGAGAGAACAGGAAAGAGGAAAAATCAAAACCCTGCGAGCTGCTGAATGTGCACCGCATGCCTTTAACCGCACAATGCCGTCTGGAACGCTTCACTCACTATGATGCACTGCCAACCCCAGAACAACAAAAACGACTGCTGCCATCTTACAAGGGCATTGTGGAATCATCTGCTTTTGTGATGCGTGCCAGAATGCTTTAAGTCATTATGATCACATCACATTTAGAACACTCGGTGCAGAACCTGCTAGAACTGTCGTGGTGTCATGCTGGTGTTCTAGAACACTCACTGTGAAGATGAACTTCTCAAGAGCTCCTTTACGACAATGCATAAAGAGTAAAAGGCCGAACGTCAACTGAATATAAACATTTAATAAATTCCTACTAAGCTTGTCTGCGAGCCAATGCAATTCGGCTATGTGTCCAAATGTAACCCGGTAAAAATTAGGTGCGCAAATAACAAATGGCACCAACAGCTACGTTTAATAAAAACATTTTTTTCGTGTGACAGATTTCAAGAAATCGAAACTAGTTATTTTTCCAGTCGAAATGGCTTCAGCCAAACATCTGTTTAAAACTCATCGTGGTTGATTATAAACGCACCTTTGGCGTTGGTTTTTGGCCTACAAAAGGTGAGTGTTTGAAGCTCATCTGCAA